CCCCCCCCCCCCCCCCTCACTTTCGGCACTATTATACGGCACTGGGAACTCGAAATCCGAAAAAAATCAGTTATCTCTTTAGAGAACCGTTCACTCGTTGGACAGAAAAATTCCTGTCCCGAAGCGAAGCTACGAGAATCTAAAACAAAAGAGGCTATTCCGCAGCACGATCTGTAACCAACTTTCATTTCCGGCACTGTATTGTCGCACTGACGGAAGGAATGTCGGTACATTAGTTAAAGGAAAGCATAATCATTGCTGTTATACCGAAAAAATCTAATCGAAAAGTCTAATTGCGGAAATACATAGGAAGAAAGTGAACTTTGTATCACAATTTTACAGGCATACACACTATTGTCAGTTTATTTCATATGTGCTCCTTAGTACGGATGAAATGTTCACAATTAGTAATATTGTATTGTTTGAACTTCTCACAACTTCTTAACCTTGTGTCGTATTCGTAAATATTATGATAATGCTGCGAAGGTTACCGACAACTGCAATGGTACGAACTAATATCCGACACGTCGCGTTATTCTTCTCAAATGTATATTTCCTCACTTGTAGTATTTAAAACGTTAATTAGCGATATCACGACTTCATAAAACCTTTGGAAGAAATCTTTAATATTTTGCTTTGATGCACGAGAATATTCCACCATTTGTTACCGGTACGCCCGCTTTGCCGCCAACTGGAAGTTGACTGCGGCCGGATATGCTACTTATTTTGTAGCGGGAAAATTCTGCGTCTTTGAAATAGTTATGCGCTAAAATGTAAAACGATGTCAGTTATATTTATTAATATCAATGAAGCAAAAATAAATATATTTCTTTTATAAAAGTGACAAATTTCTACTACAAAGACGTTAAAAATTAATAAAATTAATTATAACGTTAATATCAAACATATAATATATGATAACATGTATTATACATTACTTACATAATTTGATACATGAACATTGTGAACACATTTATTGAACATACTTCTTGAAAACGTTAGCTTCTAATGCATATGTAGTTAAAACCATTATGTCAGACTTATCCAAAGAAAGTATGTATCACTCGGTTATAATAAAGCTATAACTATTTTTGCTATTGTTAATAAGATGGATTCATGTTCAGTTTGAAGTATACTTATGACAAACTTAAAATGTTATTGTTAAAATTAAGACTGATTATATAGTACTTTTAGTAAAACAGTTTACCTAACTTATACTGTGATGGGTGGGAATAATAAAACAATAAAACGATATAAATAACTATCACACAATCTCTTCCCTTCTTTTTATTCTCTTAACACCCCCATAAAGCTTTTCATATTCTTTAACAAATTTGGGCCACTCAGTGATTTAGTTAGACAATTAGCATTCGTTTCTTTATCTGGTGCATAACAAATTTGTAAGTTCTTAGTTTTTAGTATATCCCTTATATAACAACATTTTTCTATGTAAAAGCTTAGATTTAATTTTGCACATTTTTCAATTCAAGACAATACACACCCTCAAATATCTAATTACCCCCTTCTATCCATTCATGTCCATCATTTTAGGATTATGATTAAACTATGACAAACATACTACTGCAAATGAGATGTCTGGCCAGATATAAGTATTCAAATATATGAGTTTCCCTAATAATTCTTGATATTTGTTTTTCTTGGATTAAGCTATAGTGGATTTGTCCTTCCTTTCAGCAACTTCAATGTACTGCAGTATCTTGTCTGGAATCAAATCATGTTTTATTTTCTTTTGATTTAACCAAATCTGGAGGTCTTGTCCCACAAACTCACCATCATTGTCTGAACAGATAAGTACTTTTCAACTTCTTGATAGAATTAATTTTCTTTCAGTGCTACTAATATTTTTATTTCCTCAGCTGTCTGACCTTTTTCTTATAAGAGAAAGAAAAAAATAATTACTCTCGAATAATCATCAGTAGATAAGATGTACCTCTTACCTCCTTTGGACATTAAACTTTATTGGTCCAATCAAGTCCATGTGTTACAGCCCCAATCAATTTCACATAACACTTATTCTTCACCTAATCCTTTTCTGGTCAGCATATTCAATATGTATTATTTGGTACATACCCTGAAAATATTTCTTTGTAAGTTTTTGCTTCAAATTTGTGTACTAAACCAACAGAGAATGCTAACAAATCTTTTCATATACCTTATATTCGGCTTTTTCTCTTGATAAATCTCATAAGGAGTTTTGGATGGTCAGCTAACTTTGTTCAGTTTTTTATATAGACAGCTGTACTCACTGCTTCTGCCCAAAAATACATTGGCAAATTTGAATGCATCATAGTGCTTTTGTCATCTCTTTGATGGATCTGTTCTTCCTCACAGCAACCCTATTGCATTACGGTGTCCTTGCTGGACTGAAATCATGTTTTATTTCTTTTTGATTTAAATAAACCTAGAAGACTTGTCTCACAAACTCACCTCCATTGTCTAAGCATATAAGTACTTCTCAACTTCTTGACAGATTGATTTTCTTTCAATGTTATCAATATTTTTATTTCCTCAGCTGTCTGACCCTTTTCCTATAAGAAAAAGAAAAGAATAACCACTCTGGAATAATCATCAACAGATAAGATGTATGTTTTACCTCCTTTGGACATTGGCTTTATTGGTTCAGTCAAGTTCATGTGTCACATCCCATTATTTTTGCTGTTTTTATAGTTTCCAAGTTCCTATGGATATTTCTACAGATTTTTGGCATAAAGCAACATTCACAGTCTATACTCAAGATTTATCTTTACTTTTCATATCCATTATCAATTATGCATTCTCCATCTGTTGAATGATCCCCATATTTGCATATCGATACCACACATCTTTCTCTGCTGAAACATATGCTGCCTCCTACTTGTTTCTTCATTCCACATAATATGAATTTTTTCTTCTTACAGCTTTCATTTGAACTCCTTCCTTTATATACATCAGCTCCATTATTCTGAAACTTAACACATTAGCGATGACCAGTAATTTTGATTACTGATATTAATATTTATTCTGTTCAGAACTACAACATACCTTTCAATCTCACCTGTATTCTCTATATCTTGTTGTTACAGGGGATTATCACTTAACTTAATTTTATTTCCTTTTGTCTGCCTAAACCATCTCCTTTTTTTGAACATTTTTTTCATCACCAAATATTTCTATTCTGTACGTCATATAGTTAGCTGATCTAGAATCTAATAGACATATCATACCTTACATATTTGTATTACCGCTTCAATTTTTCCTCACTCGAAAAAATAATTTTTGTCATCTAATCGCTCTATGCTGGTGATATTCCACAAGTCCAATATTTTTTTCCTGTTGCACATGCCTGTTCATTTCAACAGAGTATTGTCTTCTAAAAACCAGCCTCTGCGATCACTAATAAAAGATAGAAAAACAATGTCATATCTTACAATATTTATTTACAACTTATGAATATGTTAATACAAAGACTTTCAGTCTTTTGCATGACGCAGGCACATCTCCATGGACACAACAGTGCTTCCTGCGTCTTTTGGCCATTTTTTTCTCATTTCCCATGCACTCTCCTGTACACTTAGTGAAAAATTAATAAATTACAGTTTCTATGATTAATTTATTAACTTTTATAATTGCGTTGTAAAGGCGTACCCTTGCAGAATCTTCTTACAGCTTTCATTTGATCTCCTTCCTTTATATACATCAGCTCCATTATTCTGAAACTTAACACATTAGTGATGACCAGTAATTTTGACTACTGATATTAATATTTATTCTGTTCAAAACTACAACATACCTTTCAATCTCATCTGAATTCTCTATATCATGTTGTTACAGGGGGTTATCACTTAACTTAATTTTATTTCCTTTTGTCTGCCTAAACCATCTCCCTTGTTTGAACATTTATTTGATCACCAAATATTTCTATTCTGTATGTCATATAGTTAGCCGATCTAGAATTCAATAGACATATCATTTGTATTACCGCTTCAATTTTTCCTCACTTGAAAAAATAATTTTTGACACCTAATCGCTCTATGCTGGTGATATTCCTCAACTCCAATATTTTTCTCCTGTTTGCATATGCCTGTTCATTTCAATAGAGTACTATCTTCTTAAAACCAAGCTGTGCGATCAGCAATAAAAGATAGAAAAACAATGTCTTATATATTACAATATTTATTTACAGCTTAAGGTTATATTAATACAAAGACTTACATTCTTTTGCGTGACGCAGGCACATCTCCATGGACACAACAATGCTTCCTACGTCTTTTGGCCATTTTTTTCTCATTTCCCATGCACTCTCCTGTACACTTAGAGAAAAATTAATAAATTACAGTTTCTATGATTAATTTATTAACTTTTATAATTGCGTTGTAAAGGCGTACCCTTGCAGACTTACCATGTGCCATGTAACGAAACGAATGCTGATGGTCCACTTAAAACCACTGTTTCGGCTAAACTTATTAAAGAATGTAGAAAACTTTATGGGCTTCTTAAGTGAATAAGAAGGGAAGAGAATGTGTATTAGTTATTTATTGTCGTTTCATTGTTTTATTTATTTCGTCCATCACGTCACGACTTCTCTGTTTATTCTGTGCTCCTGTTGCTTTCTCGAGCTTCGAGTTCTAAATCATAGATGGCGTTGATCGCAAGTCTTTCTGATTGGCGGTACTTCAGCGGTGTTTCCGTCAATCAGATTGACTTGCAATTAGCGCCATTTATGATTTTAGACCCGAAGGTTTGAAAAGTAATAGGAATATAGAAAAATCACAAATTACCAAGTTTCCACGATTAATTTGTGAACTTTTATAACACGCCCGCCTTCAAATAAAAATTAATAACAAACTAATTGGCATCAAATTATTTACGAAAGTTATATTAGAATGTTGTCCAAGGATTCAGCTTTCCGATGCAACTATAAAAGTTCGTAAATTAATTTGCAGAAACTTGGCAATTTGTGATTTTTCACTGTGGCGTCGATTCCGTCCTTTTTTAACCGTTTGCTATCCTTGTCTATCGCGTGACGAGGTTAAGACGACCTCCTCGCACATTCTATATTCCTGCTACTTTTTACAGATTCGAATCCAAAATCATAGATGGCGTTGATCGCAAGTCTTTCTTATTGGCTATCTTAGCGCCAATCAACGATTTGCACTACCCTTAGAAAAGGATATCGTATAACGATTCACCAATACGATTGACTTGAAAGGAATATCATTGAATTATTCAATTTCTGTGAACAATTTGTTAACTTTTATAATTGCGTCGTAAAAAGGCACCTTTTAAGAACTTTCTAATATTATTATAGATATAAATTTCTCGTTAATTAATTAATTATTAGTATTTAATGCACGGAGTGTTCGAACTGTTGCGGAATATCCTAATGATTTGCCATTAATAACTATCTTTTATGCAACTAATTTGTAAATTACATTCACGCATTATAAAAACAATATCCTTAGCAATATTCCCATATCATTTATGTTCATATTTTACTTCTTGTTTTGTTCATAATTAAATATTTTGATTGCCAATCATGTTGGTATTATCAAATCACGTACGCCTTCAAATATTTATTAATAACAAGTTAATTATTTCTGTAAATTATTTTTGAAACTTACATGAGAATGTTGTCCAAAGTACCAGCTTCGCGATGCAGCTATAACAGTTCATAAATTAATCGTGAAAACTTGGAAATTTGTGATTTTTCACTGGAGTGTTGTCTTTGTCTTTTTCTAACCGTTTGCATTAGGGGCATATTGAAGTTATGTTTCGAAGGACAGGATGTCGTCACGCTTACTCAGTTCTTTATGTAGCGTTGTGTTAAGGATTATACACAATAAATTTGGCATTAAAATACTGAAGAGTGATATGTCCTTTGTATAGGACTAACTATAATTACCGTTATCGTTATTAATATAGGGTGGGGAAAAATAGAAACTATATCTTTTTTATTTTTTATTTACTTTTCCTACAGTGAAATTTTTATAACGGATATACAAACGTTTTGAAGCAACGATACACATAATTTCAATACACTTTCATGAATATATTATGGTCTGCTTAGGAAATATAATTACAAATAAATAAATAGAAATAAGCGATTTTCGATTAGGCGAATATAACGTTGACAGAAGGTGGTACATTGACAGTATTCCGAAAAAGTGACGTCAATTTTTATGGACTCTATCCATCAAAATTTCGGCTATGTTTTATTTCCAAAGCTCAAAGAAAACTTTCAAAATTTACAAAATATATGAAATATTTTAAATTTTGTGCGTAGCTCTTAGCTCGGTATCGTTTTCCAAAAATTATTTTATTTTTTGGAATACGATACCAATTACCAGGTCTCACCACGAGGAGGTGGCTACGCAACGAGACCCGACATGCGCCCTAGTGGCGCATCCTACTGGCGCTATCTGTATCAAAGGCACCCTAATCTAACTTGGAGGGAATTAAGTTAAAATGACTATACTGACACTTTATTATATTTCGTGTCTTACAAAAGGGGTTTCGGTTCGGTATACTGAAACTCTACTGTCGCAACGCTAAGATATTTTTAAGTTCCCATAAAAATAGGGAATGAAATATGAAACACGCGAGCTACTAGAAAATCGCGACGCGCCCGAACGAGATCGCGATTATTCGAAAGACCAACTAGCCTAGACGATGTACTCCCGTGTACAGAGATAACTTCATACCTCGGCACTCTCCCGATCGGGCCTAGCTCAATTCCAGTCACTGTCGCACTCGCCAAGACTTACACGTGGACCAAGGATAGTCCCTGAACCAATGAAACTTCTAGTGTCAACGCGAGGGCCCTGCTGGGCGGTTGCCGGCCAAGACAGACACTTCGCATCCCAGCCACACGGGGTAGAACTTAATCATCCCTGTGGTCTAACCGTAGATGGTACTAGTCCGTCAGCCAGCATGTGCCCGAGCCCCAGTCGCGTACGACTTAGGCAGCGGACCGCCCCGTCGAGGTCAGAAGACGCACTGATCCGAGGGGGTCTCCCTGGAACCCGATGCATGACGAGATTGACAGTGACTGGGAATGAGTGTCGGAGACGAGTCGTGAGGATGACTTACGAAGCATGTACTTATCGAGTACACGAGAGCACGTCGCGTAGGCTAGTCGGTACTTACGAACGATCGCGATTATCGCGAGAACAATTATGTTCTATTTGCTAAACGAGGGGGATAAGAAAATGATAGAGAATTTATAAATTTCGCTCCAAATTAGGTAGCTTACCTTTGTACAGATAGCGCGCACATGATACTTAGTCTATGGATCTATCTTATGATTACTTAAAAGTAAACGCACGCATCGTTCATTGATGTGTCGCAAACAGAATCTTGAGAAACCTAAAAGCTAAAACAGAATATATTATCGTTAATATGTAGCTGAAAGCAAAGGGATTAGTACAAGGAAACCATCAAGGTTAATAACCAAATGGAACGAGCAAGCCAACGACGAGACCTGAGCAACATAACTACGAGACAGAAACATTCCAACGGTGAGATATAAACATACCAACGAGGAAGCGCTCGAGTATTATACGAAATACTCGAACGCTCTAACGAAAACAAATCGAACGGAAGTCGTAAAATTTGTGAAAGGAAAGATTTAGCCAACGATGAGACATAAGTAAACCAACGACGAAGCATTCGAATATTATACGAAATACTCGAATGCTGAAACAAAGAGACAAATAGAATGAAAGAAATAAAATCTGGAAGAAGAAAAATAATTATAACCTGAAAGAAGAAATTATTGTTAAATTATTTAAAGGAGTGGACAATGGCCACTGAATAGCCATTGATCTAGCCAACGATGAGATATAAATAAACCAACGATGACGCATTCGAATATTGTACAAAATCTCGAATGCATAAACAATGAAATCTAGAATAAAAGAAATAGAATCTGAAAGAAGAAAGATAATTAAAACCTGAAACAGAAAGAAAAAATATTAACGCGGACCTCCCGAAGTCGAAGAGACAACTGGCTCGAGCCTGCACGCAGGCCCCTTATATAGCGGCGGCCGACCGAAGATCGGCGAAAATTTCCGAACTATATAAGTTATGAATACATTTTAACACGAATACGTTGTTTGTTTAAGTAGTAGCTAATAATTTATTAACTTTTTTTACTTTTATCGTTAATATACGTTGCAAAATATTTGCTACTAATAATAAATGTAGTAATTTATTAACTTTTTGTTAATTATAGAAATATTTTAATAGAAATATGTTACAAGTTCGAGTAATAATCAATGACTTATTAATTTTTTCACTTTTATTATAAATTTACATTGTAAATTCCCAGATATAGTTCCTCCCACATATCATAGGCAGTCTTGTAAGTGGTTATAGATATTAGTAAATTCTTCTCAATGCACATTATAATGAATTTCTTTACCTTGGCATCTCTTATTATCCACTGAGCTTCAGCATTTTCTTTACTTCAGCTTCATCTTTCACATTGGCTTTATTGGTTCAATCAAGTTTATGTGTCACAGCCCATTATTTTTGCTGTTTTTATAGTTTCCAATTTCCTATGGATATTTTTACAGATTTTTGGCATAAAGCAACATTCACAGTCTATACTCAAGATTTATCTTTACTTTTCATATCCATTACCAATTATTCATTCTCCATCTCTTCAATGATCCTCATATTTGCATGTCGATACCACACATCTTTCTTTGTTGATATATATGCTGCCTCTTTTTTGTTTCTTCATTCCACATAATATGAATTTTTTCTTTTTACAGCTTTCATTTGAACTCCTTCCTTTATATACATCAGCTCCATTATTCTGAAACTTAACACATTAGCGATGACTAGTAATTTTGACTATTGATATTAATATTTATTCTGATCAGAACTACAACATACCTTTCAGTCTCACTGTATTCTCTATATCTTGTTATTACAAGAAGTCATCGCCTAAATTAATTTTATTCTCTTTTGTCTGCCTAAACCATCTCTCTTTTCTGAACATTTCATCGTCAGATATTTCTATTTTGTATGTCATATAGTTAGCCGACCTAGAATCCAATAGACCTTACATATTTAGCAATATCATACCTTACGTAGTTATATTACTGCTTCAATTTTTTCTTGCTAGGAAAAATAATTTTTGACACCTAATTGCTCTATGCTGGTGATATTCCACGAGTCCAATATTTTTCTCCTGTTGTACATGCTTGTTCGTTTCAACAGAGTATTGTTTTCTTAAAACCTGGCTCTGTGATCACTAATAAAAGATAAAAAAACAATGGCTTATATCTTACAATATTTGTATACAGGTTAAGGTTATGTTAATACAAAGACTTACATTCTTTTGCATGATGCACAACATTGGGCACAACAATGCTTCCTGCGTTTTTGGCAATTCTTTTTTCATTTTCCATACACTTTCCTGTACACTTAGAGAAAAATTAATAAATTACACAGTTTCTGTTATTAATTTATTAACTTTTATAATTGCTTTGTAAAGGCGTACCCTTGCAGACTTGTCATGTGTCAGGTAAAGCAACGAATGCTGATTGTCCAATTAAAACCACTATTTGGTCTGAACTTATTAAAGAATGTAGAAAATTTCATGGGGTTCTTAAATGAATAAAAAGAAGGAAAGAGAATGTGTATTAATTATTCATGTCGTTTTATTGTTTTATTAATTTCGTCCATCACGTCACGTGATTTTAAGTGATCTGGCGATTTTATTTGAAT